TCTCACACACACACACACACACACACACACACACACACACACACACACACACACTCACACACTCAGCTGAGTAAACCTCAGCATCTTAAAACGACAAATATGTCAAGTTCTGCGTTCAGTTCAGTGTAAAAGGCCAAAGCTGTGAGTTTTGTTGTTGCAGATGGTCACATTAAAGCCGTTGACTGAAAATTATCCAGCAGATGCTAAAACAACACGAACACTTTTGTGAAGGCAGCATCAGAACAGAAGGATTGTGTAATGTTCGCAGGTGAAGGTCTGTATGATCCTCGCGCTCACCTGCACACACACACACACACACACACACACACACAAATGCAGAAAATGAGTCATAACAATAGCACACAATGATAAAGAGGTTGTCATATGATTGTTCACGAATATACTTTGTGTTTTTAGAGGGGTCAAACTAGGGCTGCACGATTAATCACAATATAAATGTAATCGCACTTCAATCGATTTGGCTGATCGCGATTTTGAAATCGCAAAGGCTGTGATAGTTATGTGCAGCTTGTCATTGAAGGCAGTCGTGTGTTTATTAGTCATGTTTAATCAATCAGAGCGTTTCAATCTTCTGTTTATTCAGATACAGCGATGGGGATTTCCTGGAGTGATGTGTGTTATCGTACTTCTGCGGCGGGGCATATTTGGCGTGTGTGTGTGAGACGCCCTCTGGTGTTCAGTTGGATATATGGTGTGTGTGTGTTTGTGTGTTTGTGTGTGTGTGTGAGACACCTCTGGTGTTCAGATGGATATGTGGTGCTTGTGTGTGTGTGTGTGTGTGTGTGTGTGTGTGTGTGTGTGTGTGTGTGTGTGTGTGTGTGTGTGTGTGTGTGTGTGTGTGTGTGTGTGCGTGCGTGCGTGTGTGTGTGTGTGTGTGTGAGACGCCCTCTGGTATTCAGTTGGATATATGGTGTGTGTGTGTGTGTGTGTGAGACACCTCTGGTGTTCAGATGGATATGTGGTGCGTGTGTGTGTGTGTGTGTGTGTGTGTGTGTGTGAGAGACGCCCTCTGGTCTTCAGTTGGATATATGGTGTGTGTGTGTGTGTGAGACGCCCTCTGGTGTTCAGTTGGATATATGGTGTGTGTGTGTGTGTGTGAGACACCTCTGGTGTTCAGATGGATATGTGGTGCGTGTGTGTGTGTGTGTGTGTGTGTGTGTGTGTGTGTGTGTGAGACACCTCTGGTGTTCAGATGGATATGTGGCGAATGTGTGTGTGTGTGTGTGTGTGTGTGTGTGTATGTGTGAGAGACGCCCTCTGGTGTTCAGATGGATATGTGGTGTGTGTGTGTGTGTGTGTGTGTGACGCCCTCTGGTGTTCAGATGGATATGTGGCGAATGTGTGTGTGTGTGTCTGTGTGTGTGAGACACCTCTGGTGTTCAGATGGATATGTGGTGCATGTGTGTGTGTGTGTGTGTGTGAGACACCTCTGGTGTTCAGATGGATATGTGGTGTGTGTGTGTGTGGTGTGTGTGTGTGAGACGCCCTCTGGTGTTCAGATGGATATGTGGCGAATGTGTGTGTGTGTGTGTGTGTGAGACGCCCTCTGTTGTTCAGTTGGATATGTGGTGCGTGCATGTGTGTTTGTGTGTGTGTGTGTGTGTGTGAGACGCCCTCTGTTGTTCAGTTGGATATATGGTGTGTGTGTGGTGTGTGTGAGACGCCCTCTGGTGTTCAGATGGATATGTGGTGCGTGTGTGTGTGTGTGTGTGTGAGACGCCCTCTGGTGTTCAAATGGATCAGCATTTACTACCGTTCAGCCGTGTTGCACTGACAAACTCCGCATAAAATAATCGCAGCCTTTGCCAAATCACGTGTGGTTTCATTGCGATTAATTGTGCAGCCCTAGGTCATATCAAACATCTTTAATAATTTTATGAGTACCTGTGTGTGCGTCAGCATCCCAGACCGCTGATGACCCCGATCCGGTCCACCTTCATCCCGAAGCACCCCCGCGCCATTCCCTTCCGGCTCCGGCCCTGCAGCTTCCGGTGCCGGTTCAGGACGTCCAGGAACACGTGTGGCGGGGGGCGGGGCAAGAGCGGGGGGGCGGAGTCTGCTGACCCCTCCATGACCTCTGGATGAGCCAATAGAAGAGAGCCGATCTTCAGCCCAAACAAATCCTGCAGAACCTGCACACAGTTTATAATGTCAACTTTCTGTATGCTGGAATAACTTGACGATTCAAATAGTACAGCGCAATCCTACTCAAACTGTATCATATATTTACGGACGTTAACACGACAAAGATGTACTAAAAATGGAAACGTTTTTCATTTGCGTTTTTTGCGTACAGGCGACAACGTTGTCAAAACGATCCCCGTTCAACCGGATCCGCAAAAACGACTAAAAGCGCTCTATTCTGCTTCCAGGCCAGTAGATGGCGATGCCACTTTTTGTAAAAAGAAAAATAAACTCTGACCCATGTGCATGACGTCACTGTTTTCACAAATTCACATTTGTGTAGTTTTAACAGGAGATGATAATGATATCATTTTCAAAAACTTGAAAACTTCAAAAAGTTTGTGTTTTCAGGCCCACAAAACACGGTTTTCTCGTGTAAACGAACGGCGAAAGCGCTTAAAAAGTTTTCCGTTTTTATGTCGTGTTAACACCCCTTAGTTAAATAACCCTGGATGTCTAATGTAAAAAAGAAAATCGTAATTTTGCATTTTAAATCTAAAAAAGTTTAGCTTAAGCTTAAGTGTGTAATTTTAAGACAGAATCACCTAAATGATGTCTATTTTCAAATAGACAGCAATACTACATGTACTATTCATATCATATATTTATTTATAGAGTAGCCGACTATGCTAGTGTGTGACTCGACTAGCGCTAGACTTGACCTCTATGCTTGACCCTCCATTTTTATAAATAAAAAAAAAAAAATATATATATATATATATATATATATATATATATATATATATATATATATTAAAACAGCCAATAATATTTTATATTTCTGATGACAACAAGCCCATTTTTTCCATTCATTTTCCATAAGCATTTGAAATGTCTTTGTTAGGAGTTTCTTTGGTCTGTCTGAATACTCGATTCTGATTGGCTGGAAGCTGTGCATAAAACAGTTGCTGCTAAACTGTTACTTGCAGGTAATTCGTATATCTCTCTCTCTCTCTCTCTCTCTCTCTCTCTATTTATTATCTCGATAATAAATTCAGATAATTTTTAATATTATTCGTTCATTCAAATAAATGTACTCTTATGCAATACTTCTCTGATTCAAATCGATCAGAATGCTAGATCTAACGAGCCGTGACTGGGGAAAATAACAGTAACGTTAAATGTTACCCTTCCGGTCAAATTCGCGCTGCAAACATCAATAACAGTTTTAAATGGTCAATGCTAGCAAAATTCCACATAGATTATCCTTTCCATAACGCATGAACCAAGCCAACCTATGAGGAGAATCACATTACAAACTTGTATTTGAAACTAAAGATTGTTTGAAAATCTGACTCAAAACTAAACGGCTTTAACCCAGGTAACAAAAATGTTTTCCAAGAACATTTTTGCTAACGTTTCCATTAAATTATTGGTGTGTGTGTGTGTGTATGATACAGTTATATAGACTAGCCTACCCATGTCGCATGAGCTCGTCTTCTTAATTGGTCTAGGCTCGATGAAAATGCTCGTTCTGCCTCTATGAAGTGTTAAAACCACAGCGTTTAATATTTAGCTGCCCAGAGGGCCACAGCTGATACTTTGAAATTATATTTTTGACATGATTGATTTATCAGTTCCTCATTTAATATATGTGTTCAGTTTGTGTTCAAGTTCCTATGGCTACTTCCCCGTGCTCTTGCATCTCGCTCACAGGAAAGGCCCTTCTGCTTCTTCTTCTGCAACTTTACTGTCGTGATAATTATTGTTTTAATTAGTCATTTTATACTTTATCTATAAATAAAAATCAACGTTAAAAATATGTAAGAAAATTAAATACAATATTATGGGAACATTACTTTTGAACAAAAATTCTGAAACACTTGAACAATATGTTTTATTGCTAATGTTTTGAGTACATTATTTAAAACTTCACTGGTTTGTTCATTACTTTGAGATGCAATTCAAATGATATAATCGAATTAAATATAAAATTATTGATTTAAAGATGTTGATTATATAGCCTATGTAGAAACAATTAGCATATTATGCATACAAATATTTGAGTAGTTTGAGAACGCGAATGTATTTTTTCCATCAGGAATTCCACTGCTAAACAAACATGATTATTTAAAAAAATTAATTAAAGTCCCCCTGTGGTGAAAATCCAGCTTTTAATGATGTTTATATGTCTATGTGGTGTTTTTAATACGCTTTAAGACGTAAGTTCATAAGTCGACAGCATTGCTGAGTATTTTCTGCTTAAAACTGCAGTGAACCAAAGACAGTCTCAAAAACACGGTTTGAAATCGCTGGTGTTTCTGACGTCACAAACGACCTTGTTACCAATCAGATCAACGTGTGATCGTCAACCAGTGGATCTCTGAGCTGAGGGAGTGAGTGGAGGCGGGGCTTATTTGCATATTCATAGAACCACGCATACTAAATGAGGCAAGGGTGTCGAGTTACATTCAAGATATTTTAAGGCATGAAGAAAAAAAATCCAAGGGAAAAAAAACACGTTTAAATATGTAATTTTGGTGATCAAAGATGAGTTTTTAAGGGATAAAAATGGTTGATTACAGAGGGACTTTAAGTAATGTGATTAGATGACTTCAACTAAAGCAAATAACATCGATTAACAACCTCACAGTCTTTAACTGTTTTTCAGTTTTTTTTTCATTCTGAAAATGAAGAGGATATTTACTTCAGAACCGACTGTTGCGAATTACTAAACATGCAACAAGATGAGGTCATGTGACAACAATCTAGTGCACGACTGTCTGAGGAGTTTATCCTCAATATTGCTACTATTTTTAAAAAGTAATAGGCATTATACAGCATGTAATGAACCGAATCACACAAGCAATGTCTGTTATCAAACAGGTTTCCCAAACACCGATCTGTCATCATCCATCAGTCAAGCTAGTCCCGCCCCCAAACTCACGCAATTGGTCGAGTCAGGAGTGAAATCCTCACCTGTGCGTCTGATTGGCGTGGCGATGGCCGTCCCTCTATCTGCGTTGTCATGGTGATGATGAGAAACACGAGGAGGGCAGGATGAAGAGAGGAGGTAAAGTTTAGAGGAGATGAAAAAGCCATCCTTGTTTTTAAAGAGAAGTAAATATCTGTCCGGTGCTTTCGGCTCGGGTTCTGCCCTGTACGGCTTCAGGACGGGTCTCTGTCGGAGCCGGTGCAACACCCGGCCTTTTAAGAAACATCGCTATGATGTCACACATCGCTAACGGTTGCCGTGAGCGACGCCCCGCCCCTCACACACGTCACGGCCTCCACACTGAGCGCAGATTCTCATTTCTCCAGCTGATACACACCAACTCTTTCACTTCAGGATGAACATGTCACACGCACGCTCACATTTTTGCGCTTTGTGTCGCGTTTAATCGTCGGCCTCTTTATAGCTCATCACTCTTCACAGTAACAGGCTGATGTGACCTCTGACCCTTTCAGGTTCCGCCCCCTATAAAAGTTCCCCCTGGAAACGGGCGGCGCTCAGGAACTATTTCCTCCTGTGAGAGCGCAGACACAATAGTTCGGCGTCAGATGAGAGTTTCCGTAGCGATGACCACGGGTCACGGGCCTTTCAACCTCCGGACGGGCCGACACAGACACATGCAACACACACAATCATACCTGGGAACAAGATCGTCTCCAAAGCTGCATTTATTTGATCTAAAATACAACATTTAAAATTACTGTTTTCTATGTGAATATACAGTAAAGTGTAATTTATTCCTGTGATCAAAGCTGAATTTTCAGCATCATTACTCCAGTCTTCAGTGTCACATGATCCTTCAGAAATCACTCTAATATGAGGATCTGATGCTCAAGAAACATTTATGATTATTATCAGTGTTGAAAACAGTGGAACCTGTGATACAAAACCTTTTATTCTGCAATTATTTGATAATTATAACTTAATTTTGACATTTATAATGTTACAAAAGATTTTTATTTCAAATAAATGCTGTTTTTTTGACATGTCTATTTATCAAAGAGATCTGAGACATTTAAAACCTTCAAAATTGATAATAATAAGAATCGCTATTATTTATATTAATAATATTAATAATAGAGTAATAATCCTGAAAATACAGCTTTGATCACAGGAATAAATTACACTTTACTAGATATTCACATAGAAAACAACTGATTTACACTGTAATAATATAAAAAAAAAAAAAAAAAAAAAAAAATGTAGTTTTGATCAAATAAATGCAGCCTTTAAAAGATTTATTTGAAAATCAAAAGTAGGCCTAATAATTATTCCATACTTTTGACCGGTAATTTACCAAGCCTATTTTTAAGATATTTTTAAATAAAATTCACTTTGGCCGTAACATGAAAAAAAGCCTCTTTTGCAAAAACAAGTGTCTCATCGCTGTTTAAAAGCAGGACGTTTTAGAGACTCAAAAACACAGAATAGTGTGTGAAAGTGTCTCTCTGACGCAAACATCACAGCGCAGCCAACGACAGCCTGACCTCTGACCCCTGGGCACTACATCATACTCACGCACGCTAATATGACACACACACACACACGGGTGTGTTTCTCGGATGTCGTGCTGAAACGCTTTCGGCCTGATGATCGTCGCCGAGCAACTCTCGCCCCGAGACCCGAAGCCTCCAGCTCTCTGACGTCAGCGGCGCACAGGCCCGGTACAGCCAAAGATCATTCATTCGCCATACAGTTCTGAAGAGCTTTTCTTCCGCATCGTGACAAATAACACATTATCTAGAAGACAACTGTCAGGCGAGACGTGGTTCAGTGCATCGGTTGTTGATTGGATGTGCCTGGCACTCAAAAAATGCTTTTTTTACTCAGTATTTTTGTCTCGTTTCCAGTCCAAATATCAAAAAATCGTTAAATCAAGATGCATTTACTAGATGAGTAAAATGATATAAGATATTATGTCCTGTTTTCTGGGGAAATAAATCTAAATGAAGTGAGTTGATACTTAAAAAAAAGCAAAATTATCTGCCAATGCGGTGATACAAATAATCTTAATTTAAACAGAAACAACATTATTTTTCTCACCGCATTGGCAGATAATTTAAGCATCAACTCACTTGATTTAGATTTATTTATAAATCTTATATCAAAATTACTACTTTTGATCTTGCTTTAAGAAATGTTTGATATACAGTACTATGGATTGGAAACAAGATAAAAATACTAAGTAAGAAAATCATTTTTTGCAGTGTGGCAAATAATATTAAAGTAAATAAGCTTAAAATAAATGAATAAAAAACATGATTTAAATTATATTTATAGTGCATTACTGCAGCATGAGACTGCGAAACCACTTCACATACAGGTTTAGCTTTATAGCCTGAAAGCGCTAATAAAGGGGGGGGGGGGTGTTTTGTTGTAATTCAGGCTCGACTAGAACAGGTTTTCCTGCTTGAATGTTGATTATTTTCCTCATATTCTCCATTGTTTAATCTCCTCTCTTCCCAGTCTGTCAGTAACGCTCTGGTTTCCGGAAAGCATCGTTAGCCAACTATGTTCGCGAGTTCTGTCGGTATTAACAGTTCAACGAGTCGGTGTTTCCCGAAACTATAGTTCCAACAAACATTCGCAATTGGCATCGCAGAGTTGTGTGTGTGTGTGTGTGAGCGACACTCGAGATCTGCAGTTAGAAGCAGTTTCTAGATCGCATGACGTGACTCAATAACTCCTGATCTTCAGGAATATAAGCAAGCGGACATTCAGTGCAAACGGTCTTTTATTTAGAACACAAAAGGGGTGTAACGATGCCCTCATGTCACGATTCGATACATATCACGACACTGAACTCACGATACGATATTATTGCGATACTCCAAGACATATGATAAAAGGTTAACAAAAAATGTACTGTTGATTAAAATGCTAACTTTGATATTACATTGTGGGTTTAAATGAATAGGATGGACTTGGTGCTTGTTACCCGCAAGGACAATAGTGACACCAGAATAACAATATTCATGATTCTGAAGCTGAAAATAAAGAATTATTTTAGACGAATTTGCTTGCACTCTGTCCTAGATATATTTAAAATAATGGACTTTTTACTGGTAACATCAGACATTTGGCATTATCAGGACCCACAAATATTCCCCCATTGCATTATTATACATTATAATCAACATTATGTATAGTAGTTTAATGTAGTACTGACACTAAAACTCTGAAAAATGTAATTTTTTTCTCACACAGTAATTTTTATTTTGGGGGAGCTATCCACGATACATATTGTTGCATTTTTGTATTGCGATATATTGTGGCACGATCAGGGCTTGACATTAACTTTTTTGCTCACTAGCCAATGTGGCTAGTGGTTTTCCAAAGTTACTAGCCACACAGCATTTTTACTAGCCACATTTTTGTTGTTTTGAAATTACCTGATTAAAGTTGACTATGGCGTGCTAAAATTTACTTGAACTAGATTTACAACCCTTTTAAATGTAAAACCACTGTACACACGCAAATCAAGACTAGGTAGGTATAACAATACAGGTCATTATCATTAGCTCTGATAAGGTTGTGTGTAAAGCTCCTTTAAAGCTCCTATAAAACCAGGTATTAAGATGAAGACATAGCTTCTTGCATAATAAAAGTGGTGCATGGATGTAGAAGATTAATAAAAAATATAAAAAAATAAACTGAAAAAACCTTTAGCATTAGAAACACTGTCTGTTTAAATATCAGAATCAGAATTACTTTATTGAGCCCCGATGGGAAATTCTTTGTTACAAGTTGCGTTTTCTGTGTCTTTGCACAGCAGAAACGTGTCTGACTGGTGTCTGCTGGTAACGTACATGGAGGGCTATCTCGGGATTCGGGCGTTGCAGCATAGACGGCAAAATAGGCTATAAGAATATTTCGTTCTGTATTGACAGGTGCAATATTTGATTTTTTTTTAAATTATATCTGCATTTGCCAAAACCTATGGACTTTCAAACATAAAAATGCCATTTATTAATATGTGTTCGTGTCAACATGACATATTTTCCTATTCTATTTAGCCTGGAAACGCTTCCAACAGGCTTGCGTGTCGCGTGGGAAATAGGCGTCGGTTTTTTTTCTAGCATGCACGCGTTTTCGGCGCGGCTCGAGACGCGCGTCACGCAGGCAGTGTGCAAGTTCTAACCTGTTAACATGGGAGCCGAAATAAAAACGGACACACCACGCAGCGGAGACGCGCACGCCACGCAGCCAGTGCGCTTCAGATGCCTTTTGAAAAGACTACAATTATTCAACCCGCCAAAGTGGCTAGTTGAAGTGACTGTGTTACCCGCCACGAGCAAAATCCACCCGCATTTGGCGGGTTGGCGGGTGTTAATGTCAAGCCCTGGGCACGATATATTGTTACACCCATACAAAATGTAATTTACGTCTTTTAGTTCGTCATGTGATTTAAAGCATCGTTTTTGAAGAGTGCGCGTGTGTGAACGAGCTCTAGTGTGTGTGAACGCTAGGTTGAATCTGGAAATAAAGCGAAATAACTGAGAAAAATGAGTAAGTCCTCAGATGCATGTCTGTAATTTATAGCAAAACATCTAGCGTTAATTCGATCTCAAACAGATTCATTAACAGTAGTTATTTTTACTCCGACATCTGTGTGACATCATTAACCAACGCGGTTGAACAACCAATTTGCGACTATACGGTTTGGGGAAACAGTCGTGACGAGCTCGCTGACTTCTTCATCGATATATCGTGCTATAATAGTTAAACAGCGAGTTACGGCGGTGTTCTGGAAACACCTGATTAGTTCCTATCTCTGTGAAGCCCCTCCTTCTGAAAGTCAAGTCAAGTCAAGTCAAATATATTTATATAGCGCTTTTCACAATACAGATTGTATCAAAGCTGCTTCACAGTATCAATCAAAACAACCTAAGAGTGTTTGTTTATTACTGGAAAAAAGACATCCAAGTTTGGTAGAGCTAGTCAATGGGATGATGGGTCATTTTATTTGAAAATCCCCAAACTGAGCAAGCCAAAGGCAACAGTGGCAAGGAACCGAAAAACTTCGTCAAAAGCACACTGTGCTCTGATTGGTCGGCTGGAGCAGTGTGTTGTGATTGTTCGAGCGCTTCCAGTGTGTTTGGGAAATGTCCCGCCCCTTTCCATAACCGCCAGTTTAACACACTACTAACTCAACAGGCCCCGCCCCTTTATTCTGCGTATGAATTATTATAATGAGGAATATTGTGACGTGTTCGTTCCCGGGAGAAACTCAAGACTACAATGGAGGCGTTTCAGGAGTCTCACTTTTCATGCTCAAACTGCAACATTACACACTGAAGACAGATGAACGCGTCAAAGTAAAATAGGTGCTCTTTTAGATTTTGAATTAGTTTTTATTTTCATTATAGTTGGTTTCATTAATTTTGTAGTGTGCTTTTGTCATTGTATTCACTTCTGTGGTGATTTACTCATTGATCAGGCGTGTGATTGGTCGATCGCTCATGGAGCAGGCGTGTGATTGGTCGATCGCTCATTGATCAGGCGTGTGATTGGTCGATCGCTCATGCAGCAGGCGTGTGATTGGTCGATCGCTCATTGATCAGGCGTGTGATTGGTCGATCGCTCATGCAGCAGGCGTGTGATTGGTCGATCGCTCATGCAGCAGGCGTG